ATACTGGGGTTGTACTGGGGGGGGTACTGGGGTTGTACTGGGGTTGTACTGGGGGGGTACTGGGGTTGTACTGGGGGGGATACTGGGGCTGTACTGGGGGATACTGGGGGGATACTGGGGTTGTACTGGGGGGGGTACTGGGGTTGTACTGGGGGGGTAGTGGGGTTGTACTGGGGCTGTACTGGGGGGGGATACTGGGGTTGTACTGGGGCCATACTGGGGCTGTACTGGGGGGGTACTGGGGTTGTACTGGGGGGATATTGGGGTTGTACTGGGGGGGTATTGGGGTTGTACTGGGGGGATGCTGGGGCTGTACTGGGGGGATGCTGGGACCGTACTGGGGGATACTGGGGCCATACTGGGGGGGTACTGGGGTTGTACTGGGGGGATACTGGGGTTGTACTGGGAGGGTACTGGAGCTATACTGGGGCTATACTGGGGGGATACCGGAGCTATACTGGGGCCATACTGGGGCTATACTGGGGGGGATACTGGGGCTGCACTGGGGGGATACCGGAGCTATACTGGGGCCATACTGGGGCTATACTGGGGGGGGATGCTGGGGTTGTACTAGGGGAGATACTGGGGCTGTACTGGGGGGGTACCGGAGCTATACTGGGGCCATACTGGGGCTATACTGGGGGGGACACTGGGACTGTACTGGGGGGATACCGGAGCTATACTGGGGCCATACTGGGGCTATACTGGGGGGGGATGCTGGGGTTGCACTAGGGGAGATACTGGGGCTGTACTGGGGCTATACTGGGTGCATATTGGGGCCATACTGGGGGGTTACTGGGGCTATACTGGGTGCATACTGGGGCTGTACTGGGGGATCCTGGAACAGTACTGGAGGATACTGGGGCCATACTGGGGCGACACTGGGATTGTACTGGGGGATACTGGGGCCATACTGGGGGGACACTGGGATTGTACTGGGGAATACTGGGGCCATACTGGGGGGACACTGGGGTTGTACTGGGGGATACTGGATCCATACTGGGGGCTTTATTGGGGCCAGTACCCCCTCATGGTCCCTCTTGTACCTCCCCTAGCCCCCCCCCCCCAATGGACCCGTCCAGGCCCCGCCCCTAGCGACGACTCAGCCAATAGCGGGGTCTTCCCATAGCAACAGCCCCCGCCCACCCGGAGGGCGGAGCATCGCCGAGGGCGGGGCTTCGTTTATTGACCACGCCCCCTTCAGGTTCCCCGTTTATTCCCCCCCCAAGGCCAACGACCCCCATGGGATAGGGCTGGGGGAGCCCATGGGGGGGCCCATAGGGGGTCCATGGGGATCCATGGGGGGGCCCATAGGGGGTCCATGGTGGGGGTCCATGGGGGGGTGCATGGGGATCCATAGGGGGGTCCATGGGGTGGTCCATGGGGATCCATGGGGATCCTCATAGGGGGATCCATTGGAGACCCTGCTGTGGGTTCCTAGTGGGGTCCATGGGGGTATCCAAAGGGGGGTCCACAGAGGGGTCCATGGTGGGTTCCATGGGGGGTCCATGGGGGGGTCCATGTGGGTCCATGGTGGGGTCCATGGGGTGTCCATAGAGGGGTCCATGGGGGGGTCCATGGGGTGTCCATAGAGGGGTCCATGGGGTGTCCATAGAGGGGTCCATGGGGGGGGCCATGGGGTGTCCATGGGGGTATCCAAACGGGGGTCCATAGAGGGGTCCATGGGGGGGTCCATGGGGTGTCCATAGAGGGGTCCATGGTGGGGTCCATGGGGGGGTCCATGGGGTGTCCATAGAGGGGTCCATGGTGGGGTCCATGGGGGGGTCCATGGGGGGTCCATGGGAGGGGGGTCCATGGGGGGGTCCATGGGGTGTCCATAGAGGGGTCCATGGGGGTGTCCATAGAGGGGTCCATGGGGGGGTCCATGGGGGGGTCCATGGGGTGCCCATAGAGGGGTCCCTGGGGGGTCCATGGGGTGTCCATAGAGGGGTCCATGGGGGGGTCCATGGGGTGTCCATAGAGGGGTCCATGGTGGGGTCCATGGGGTGTCCATAGAGGGGTCCCTGGGGGGTCCATGTGGGGTCCGTGGCGCCCCCATCAGAAGGTGTGCACCAGGGGCACATTGGGCAGCTCCGGGCCCCCCGCGTCCCCCCCGGTGCCCCCCGGGGCCTGGGGCTGCACCCGGAGCAGGAGGAGCCGGGCAGGGCCCCCCCCGGCCCCACACAGCAGCAGCACCGGGGGCAGCCCCACGGCAGAGCCCCCCAGGGCCACGTGTGGGGAGGGGGACGGGGGGGACCCAGCCACGAGCAGCTCGGGGGGGGCCGGGGGCACCTCCATGGGCTTCAGTTGGGCATTGGGGTCCTCAATGGCCTTGAGTTGGGTGTTGGGTACCTCAATGGTCTTCAGTTGGACATTGGGCACCTCAATGGGCTTGAGTTGGACGTTGGGCGCCTCAATGGCCTTGAGTTGGGTGTTGGGTACCTCAATGGTCTTGAGTTGGGCATTGGGCATCTCCATGATCTTGAGTTGGGTGTTGGGTACCTCAATGGCCTTGAGTTGGGCATTGGGGACCTCGATGGCCTTGAGTTGGGTGTTGGGCATCTCCATGGTCTTCAGTTGGACATTGGGCACCTCAATGGGCTTGAGTTGGGCGTTGGGTACCTCAACGGTCTTCAGTTGGATGTTGGGTACCTCAATGGTCTTGAGTTGGGCATTGGGCATCTCCATGGCCTTGAGTTGGGCGCTGGGGACCTCAACGGCCTTGAGTTGGATGTTGGGCATCTCCAAAGTCTTGAGTTGGACATTGGGTACCTCAATGGTCTTCAGTTGGATGTTGGGTATCTCCATGGTCTTGCATTGGGTGTTGGGTACCTCAATGGGCTTGAGTTGGACATTGGGCACCTCAATGGGCTTGAGTTGGACACTGGGCACCTCAATGGGCTTGAGTTGGACACTGGGCACCTCAATGGGCTTGAGTTGGATGTTGGGCACCTCCAATGTCTTCAGTTGGGCATTGGGTACCTCCAAGGTCGTCAGTTGGACACTGGGCACCTCCAGGGTCTTTACGTGCACGTGGGGTACCTCAATGGTCTTGACTTGGATGTTGGGCATCTCCATGGGCCTGAGTTGGGCATTGGGTACCTCCAAGGTCTTGAGTTGGACGTTGGGTACCTCAATGGGCTTGAGCTGGATGTTGGGCATCTCCAAGGACTTGAGTTGGACATTGGGTACCTCAATGGTCTTCAGTTGGATGTTGGGTACCTCAATGGGCTTCAGTTGGGTACTGGGCACATCCAAGGTCTTTACTTGGACGTTGGGCATCTCCATGGGCTTGAGTTGGGTGTTGGGCACCTCAATGGCCTTGAGTTGGACACTGGGCACCTCCAAGGTCTTTACTTGGACGTTGGGTACCTCAATGGCCTTGAGTTGGACACTGGGCACCTCCATGGGCTTCAGTGGGATGTTAGGTATGTCAATGGCCTTGAGCTGGATGTTGGGCACCTCAATGGCCTTGAGCTGGACACTGGGGACCTCAATGGGCTTGAGTTGGGTGTTGGGCACCTCAATGGCCTTGAGTTGGACATTGGGCACCTCCATGGGCTTCAGTTGGACGTTGGGCACCTCCATGGGCTTCAGTTGGACGTTGGGCACCTCAATGGTCTTGAGTTGGACATTGGGCACCTCCATGGGCTTCAGTTGGATGTTGGGTACCTCAATGGTCTTGAGTTGGGCATTGGGCACCTCAATGGCCTTGAGTTGGCCATTGGGCACCTCAATGGCCTTTACTTGGATGTTGGGCATCTCCAAGGTCTTGACTTGGACGTTCGGCACCTCCATAGGCTTCAGTTGGATGTTGGGCACCTCAATGGCCTTGAGTTGGATGTTGGGCACCTTCAAGGCCTTGAGCTGGACACTGGGCACCTCCATGGGCTTCAGTTGGACACTGGGCACCTCCATGGGCTTCAGTTGGACATTGGGCACCTCCATGGGCTTCAGTTGGACGTTGGGCACCTCCATTGGGCACCTCCATGGGCTTCAGTTGGACACTGGGCACCTCCATCACCTGGTGACCGGCACTGGGCACGTCGTGGGGCTGGAGGCTGAGCTTTGCCACCTCAATGGTCTTCAGCTGGATGCTGGGCACCTCCATCACGTGGTGCTGGGCACCGGCTTCCTCGGGCTCTTGGAGGTGGCCACCGGGCACGTCCGTGACTTGGATTTGGACCCCGGGCACCTCGGGGCTCTGGAGGCCATTGGGCACCGCGGTGGCTTCCAGACGGCCACCGGGCACCTCTGTGCTCTGGAGCTGGACATTGGCCACCTCCATGGCCTGGAGCTGGATGGTGGCCACCTTGGGGGCCTGTGGAAGAGCCTGGAGCTGGCCATTGGCCACCTCAGGGCCTTGGAGCTGGACGCTGGTGACATCCAATGGTGGTGGCAAGGCCTGGAGCTGGACACTGGTGACATCCAATGGCTGTGGTAGGGCTCGGAGGTGGACGTTGGCCACCTCGGATGCTTGGAGCTGGATGGTGGCCACCTTGGGGGCCTGTGGAAGAGCCTGGAGCTGGCCATTGGCCACCTCAGGGCCTTGGAGCTGGATACTGGTGACATCCAATGGCTGTGGTAGGCCTTGGAGGTGGACGTTGGCCACCTCAGATGCTTGGAGATGGATGGTGGCCACCTGGGGGGCCTGTGGAAGAGATTGGAGCTGGCCATTGGCCACCTCAGGGCCTTGGAGCTGGACGCTGGTGACATCCAATGGTGGTGGCAAGACCTGGAGCTGGCCATTGGCCACCTCGGATGCTTGGTGCTGGATGCTGGTGACATCCAATGGCTGTGGTAGGCCTTGGAGGTGGACGTTGGCCACCTCAGATGCTTGGAGCTGGATGGTGGCCACCTTGGGGGCCTGTGGAAGAGCTTGGAGCTGGACACTGGTGACATCCAATGGTGGTGGCAAGACCTGGAGCTGGACGTTGGCCACCTCTGTGCCTTGGAGCTGGATGGTGGCCACCCTGGGGGCCTGCGGAAGAGCCTGGAGCTGGCCATTGGCCACCTCGGATGCTTGGAGCTGGATGGTGGTGACATCCAATGGCGGCGGTAGGGCTTGGAGCTGGACACTTGGCACCTCCATGCCTTGGAGCTGGCCATTGGTCACCTCAGTGCCTTGGAGCTGGATGGTGGCCACCTTGGGAGCCTGTGGAAGAGCCTGGAGCTGGCCATTGGCTACCTCGGATGCTTGGAGCTGGATGGTGGCCACCTTGGGAGCCTGTGGAAGAGCTTGGAGCTGGCCGTTGGCCACCTCGGATGCTTGGAGCTGGATGGTGGCCACCTTGGGGGCCTGTGGAAGAGCCTGGAGCTGGCCATTGGCTACCTCAGATGCTTGGAGCTGGATGGTGGCCACCTTGGGGGCCTGTGGAAGAGCCTGGAGCTGGCCATTGGCTCCCTCGGATGCATGGAGCTGGATGGTGGCCACCTTGGGAGCCTGTGGAAGAGCTTGGAGCTGGCCGTTGGCTCCCTCGGATGCTTGGAGCTGGATGGTGGCCACCTTGGGGGTCTGTGGAAGAGCCTGGAGCTGGCCGTTGGCTACCTCGGATGCATGGAGCTGGATGGTCGCCACCTTGGGGGCCTGTGGAAGAGCCTGGAGCTGGCTGTTGGCTACCTCGGATGCTTGGAGCTGGATGGTAGCCACCTTGGGAGCCTGTGGAAGAGCCTGGAGCTGGCCGTTGGCTCCCTCGGATGCATGGAGCTGGATGGTGGCCACCTTGGGGGCCTGTGGAAGAGCCTGGAGCTGGCCATTGGCCACCTCGGATGCTTGGAGCTGGATGGTGGCCACCTTGGGGGCCTGTGGAAGAGCCTGGAGCTGGCCGTTGGCCACCTCGGATGCTTGGAGCTGGATGGTGGCCACCTTGGGGGCCTGTGGAAGAGCCTGGAGCTGGCCATTGGCCACCTCGGATGCTTGGAGCTGCCCATTGGCCACCTCCAAGGGTTGAGCCAGGGCTTGGAGCTGCCCATTGGTGCCGTCGGGGGGCAGCTCCCCCCCGATGCCACCCCTTAGCACGACGACGCCGGTCCCCACCGGCCCCGCTCCCGGCACCACCAGGATGCTCTGGGCGGCAACGGGCACGGCGCGGGGCACGGCCGTGGGGCCGGGCAGCAGCAGGAGGTTGCGGGGGGCTTCCGTGGGGCTGGGGACGAGGCGGAGGCCTCGGGGTCCCCCCTGCAGGAGGAGGAGGACGGTTTGAGGCTGGGCGCGGGGCACGGCGGCGGTGGCGGCGGTGCCATGGGTGCGGAGGTGCCGCTGCAGGTAGGAGGCGACGGCGAAGGCTTTGGCGCAGAGCGGGCAGCGATGGGGCCGGGCGCCGGAGTGGGTACGGCGGTGGAGGCGGAGGTTGGAGGAGTGCGTGAAGGTTTTGGGGCACTGGGGGCAGGCGTAGGGGCGCTCGCCCGTGTGCACGCGCTGGTGCTGCCGCAGGTTGGAGGGCTGCGCGAAGGCCTTGCCGCAGACGCCGCAGGCGTGGGGCCGCTCGCCCGTGTGCAGCTGCCGGTGCCGCCGGAGGCTCGACGAGTTCTTGAAGGCCTTGGGGCACTCGGCGCAGCGGTAGGGCCGCTCGCCCGTGTGCTGCCGCTGGTGGTACTGGTAATGGGAGGCCCACTTGAAGGTGAGGCCGCATTGGGCGCACTCGAAGGCGCGCAGCCCCGTGTGCACCCGTTGGTGGATCTGGAGCAGGGAGGAGCGCTTGAAAGCCTTGGGGCAGTGCGGGCAGGGGTAGGGCCGCTCGCCGGTGTGGTCCCGCAGGTGGTACCGCAGCCCCGAGGAGCCCTTGAAGGCTTTGCCGCACTCGGGGCACTGGTACGGGCGCTCCGGGAGCGGAGGGGAGGTGGGCGCCGGGGCGGACACCCCGCCTTGGGGGTGCCCCGAGAGCCCCGTTGTCAACGGGGGCAAGGCTTTAGGGCACTTGTAGGGCCCGCGGCGGTGCCGCGCCAGCGCCGCGCTGCTCTTGAAGCTCTTGGCGCAGGCGGGGCAGCGGAGAGGGGGCAGCGGCGCCGGCGCCCCGTGGGCTCCTTGGTGGCCCAGGAGCTCCTCGTGGGTGCTGAGGCTCAGCGGGCACAAAGAGCATCTCCATGGGGGCTGTGGGGCAGCGGCGGGGCTTGGCGGCGGCGGTGGGGCCGCAGCGTGGTTCTGGATGCGGGGTTGGAGCGAGGGGCACTGGGAGCACTGGTGGGGCCGGGCGGGCGCGGCGTGGCCGCGGCGGTGCAGGAGGAGGTTGGAGGAGTGCGTGAAGGTTTTGGGGCACTGGGGGCAGGCGTAGGGGCGCTCGCCCGTGTGCACGCGTTGGTGCTGCCGCAGGTTGGAGGGCTGCGCGAAGGCCTTGCCGCAGACGCCGCAGGCGTGGGGCCGCTCGCCCGTGTGCAGCTGCCGGTGCCGCCGGAGGCTGGAGGAGTTCTTGAAGGCCTTGGGGCACTCGGCGCAGCGGTAGGGCCGCTCACCCGTGTGCTGCCGCTGGTGGTACTGGTAATGGGAGGCCCACTTGAAGGTGAGGCCGCATTGGGCGCACTCGAAGGCGCGCAGCCCCGTATGGACGCGTTGGTGGGTCTGGAGCAGGGAGGAGCGCTTGAAAGCCTTGGGGCAGTGCGGGCAGGGGTAGGGCCGCTCGCCGGTGTGGCCCCGCTGGTGGTAGAGGAGGGCAGAGGAGCCCTTGAAGGCTTTGGGGCACTCGGGGCACTTGTAGGGCCGCTCGCCCGTGTGGCTGCGCTGGTGATGGGCCAGGCGGGAGGACCAGCGGAAGCACTTCCCGCACTCCCGGCACGAGTAAGGGGGCTGCGAGGGGGCTGAGGCCCCACACCGGGACCCGGCGGACATCGGAGGCAGGGGGGGAACACGTGGAGATGCCAAGGGAGGGGGCGTGGCCTCTCCAAAGAGGGGCGTGGCTTCCCCTAGAGGGGTGCGCTGTGCACTAGAGGGGACGTGGATTCGGCTGGAGGGGGCGTGGCCTCCGTTGGAGAGGCGTGGTCTGCGCTGGAGGGGGCGTGGCTTCCCCTACAGGGGCGCGCTGTGCGCTAGAGGGGACGTGGATTCGGCTGGAGGGGGCGTGGCCTCCGTTGGAGAGGCGTGGCCTCTCTTAGAAGGGTCCGTTCTCCGCTAGAGGGGGCGTGGCCTCCGCGGGAGGAGGCGTGGTCTGCGCTGGAGGGGGCGTGGCTTCCCCTACAGGGGCGCGCTGTGCACTAGAGGGGACTTGGATTCAGCTGGAGGGGGCGTGGGTTGGAGAGGCGTGGCCTCTCTAGAAGGGTCCGTTCTTAGAGGGGCGTGGCCTCCGCGGGAGGAGGCGTGGTCTGCGCTGGAGGGGGCGTGGCTTCCCCTACAGGGGCGCGCTGTGCACTAGAGGGGACTTGGATTCAGCTGGAGGGGGCGTGGTCTCGGTTTGAGGGGCGTGGTCTCTGCGGGAGGCGGCGTGGCCTCGAATTGAGGGGCGTGGTTTCTGCGGGGAGGCGTGGTCTGCGCTGGAGGGGGCGTGGCCTCCTTTAGAGGGGCGTTCTCTCTGCTAGAGGGGACGTGGATTTGGCCAGAGGGGGCGTGGCCGCCGTTTTGGGGGCGTGGTCTCTGCGGGAGGAGGCGTGGTCTGCGCTGGAGGGGGCGTGGATTCGGCCGGAGGGGGCGTGGCCTCTCTATAGAAGGGTTCGCAGTCTGCTAGAGGGGGCGTGGCCTCCGCTGGGGAGGCGTGGCCTCTCTTAGAAGGGTCTGCTCTCTGCTAGAGGGGGCGTGGCCTCGGTTTGAGGGGCGTGGTCCCTGCGGGAAGGGGCGTGGCCTCCGACGGAGGGGGCGTGGCCTCTCCTAAAGGGGCGCGCTCTCTGCTGGAGGGGACGCGCCTTCCTCTTGAGGGGGCGTGGCCTTCGCGTGAGGGGCGTGGCCTCCGTGCGAGGGGCGTGGCTCTGCCCTGAGGACGCGACTCACCCGCAGAGGCCACGCCCCCTTTTTGCCCCCCTCAAGCCCCCCCCCCAAGCCCCGCCCCCTTTCCCTCCCCTCAGGGCCCTCCCGCTCTCCCCTGCAGGCCCCGCCCCTCCTCTCCGCCAAGCCCCGCCCCTTGCGCCCTCCCCGCTCCCGTTACCGGTTTCCCCCTCCCCCCCCTCCCCCTCCCCCCCTCTCCGTTTCCCCCTCCCCCCCCTCCCGTTACCGGTCGCTCCCGGTTCCGCCGCAAACGCCCTGGGCCGCGCCGAGCGCGAAGCCACGCCCCTACGGGGAGAGGGGGTGGCGCGCATGCTCGCGCGCATGCGCACGGGCGCCGCCTGAGCCGGCGCGGGGCGTGATGGGAAATGTAGTCCGGGAGGATGACGCCATCTTGGCGGGGCGGGGGGGGGGGGGGTGGAACCGGGACCATAAAACGGGTTCGGAGCCCCCCAAAACGGGTTCGGATCCCCCCAAAACGGACTCGGAGCCCCCCAAAACGGGTTCGGATCCCCCCCCAAACGGGTTTGGAACCCCCCAAAACGGGTTTGGATCCCCCCAAAACTGGTTTGGAACCCCTAAAACGGGTTCGGATCCCCCCCAAAACGGGTTTGGAACCCCCAAAACGGGTTCGGATCTCCCCAAAACGGGTTCGGATCCCCCCAAAACGGGTTTGGAACCCCCAAAACGGGTTCGGATCTCCCCAAAACGGACTCGGATCCCCCCAAAAGGGGTTTGGAACCCCCAAAACGGGATCGGATCCCCCCCCAAACGGGTTTGGAACCCCCAAAACGGGTTTGGAACCCCCAAAACGGGTTCGGATCTCAACAAAACGGGTTCAGATCCCCCCAAAACGGGTTTGGAGCCCCCAAAAACGGGTTCAGATTCCCCCAAAACGGGTTCGGAGCCCCCCAAAATGGGTTTGGATCCCCCCAAAACGGGTTTGGAACCCCCAAAACGGGTTTGGAACCCCCAAAACGGGTTCGGATCCCCCCCAAATGGGTTTGGATCCCCCCCAAAACGGGTTTGGAACCCCCAAAACGGGTTCGGATCTCCCCAAAACGGTCTCGGATTCCCCCAAAAGGGGTTTGGAACCCCCAAAACGGGTTTGGAACCCCCAAAACGGGCTCGGATCCCCCCCAAAACGGGTTTGGAACCCCCAAAACGGGTTCGGAGCCCCCCAAGACGGGTTTGGAACCCCCAAAATGGGTTCGGAGCCCCCCAAAATGGGTTCGGATCCCCCCAAAACGGGTTCGGATCTCCCCAAAACGGGTTCGGATCTCCCCAAAACGGGTTTGGAGCTCCCCAAAACGGGTTCGGATCCCCCCAAAACGGACTCGGATCCCCCCCAAAACGGGTTTGGAGCTCCCCAAAACGGGTTCGGATCCCCCCAAAACGGGCTCGGATCCCCCCTAAAACGGGTTTGGAGCCCCCAAAACGGGTTTGGAGCCCCCTAAACGGGTTCGGATCTCCCCAAAACGGGTTCAGATCTCCCAAAACGGGTTCGGATCCCCCCGAAACGGGTTTGGAACCCCCAAAACGGGTTCGGATCCCCCCAAAACGGGTTTGGATCCCCCCAAACGGGTTCGGATCTCCCCAAAACGGGTTCGGATCCCCCCAAAACGGGTTTGGATCACCCCAAACCGGCTCGGATCCCCCCAAAACGGGTTTGGAACCCCCAAAATGGGTTTGGATCCCCCCAAAACGGGTTCGGATCCCCCCCCAAAACGGGTTTGGAGCCCCCCAAACGGGTTCGGAGCCCCCCAAAACGGGTTTGGACCCCCCCCCCAAACGGGTTTGGAACCCCCAAAACGGGTTCGGATCCCCCCAAAACGGGTTCGGATCACCCCAAAACGGGTTTGGAACCCCCAAAACGGGTTCGGATCCCCACAAAACGGGTTCGGATCCCCCCCAAAAGAGGTTTGGAACCCCCAAAACGGGTTCGGATCCCCCCAAAACGGGTTTGGAACCCCCAAAACGGGCTCGGATCCCCCCAAACTGGTTCAGATCTCCCCAAAACGGGTTCGGATCCCCCCCAAAACGGGTTTGGAAACCCCAAAACGGGTTCGGAGCCCGCCAAGACAGGTCCTGATCCCCCAAACCGGGTCCGGATTCCCCTGAAACGGGCTCGGATCTCCCCAAAACGGGCTCGGATCCCCCGAAAACGAGTTCGGATCCCCTCGAAATGGGTTCAGAACCCCCAAAACGAGCTCGGATCACCCCGAAACGGGCTCGGAATCCCCCAAAACAGGTCCGGATCCCCCCAAAACGGGTTTGGAACCTCCAAAACGGGTCTGGATCCCCCCAAAATGGGCCCGGATCCCACCAAAACGGGTCCAGATCCCCCAAAACGGGTCCGGATTCCCCTGAAACGGGCTCGGATTCCCCCAAAATGGGCTCAGATCCCCTGAAAATGGGCTCGGATCCCCTAAAACGGGTTCGGAACCCCCCAAACGGACTCGGATCTCCCCAAAACGAACTTGGAGGCCCCAAAATGGGCTCGAAACCCCCAAAACGGGTCCGGATCCCCCCAAAATGGGCTCAGAACCCCCCAGTATGGGTTCGGATCCCCCCAAAACGGGTTCGGATCCTCCCAAAACGAGTCCCGATCCCCCCCCAAACGGGCTCGGATCCCCCCAGATGGGTTTGGATCCCCCCAAACCGGGCTCAGAACCCCCCAAAACGGGTTCGGATTCCCCCAAAACTGGTCCGGATTCCCCTGAAACGGGCTCGCATCCCCCAAAATGGCCTTGGATCCCCCAAAACGGGTTTGGATCCCCCCAAAATGGATTCGGATTCCCCCAAAACAGGCTCGGATCCCCCCCAAACGGGTCTAGATCCCCCCAAAATGGGTACAGATCCCCCCAAAATGGTCTCGGATCCCCCCAAAACGGGTTCAGATCCCCCCAAAACGGGCTCAGAACCCCCAAAAAGGGCTCAGAACCCCCAAAACGGGTTCAGATCCCTTCCCAAAGGGAAGCCTTGGAGAGGGGCTTTGGCTGCGGGATGGGATGAGGGGCAAACGGCTTCCAAGTGGGAATGGGAAGAGCCACAAGGGCCCTCGCTTCCCAAAGCATGGAATTCCGTGGAGCGCCGGCTGCAGGGAAGTGGGGCTGGAATGGGATGGGAAAGGGGGGGGGGAGGCACTAAATCCATAGGGAAGAGGAGGGCTCATCGCCGGAGGAGGGGACAATCCTGCTCTCCCCACCCCCAGCGCCCCGATCCCATGGGAATGTCGGGATCCCGACTCCCACCCTTGGGAATGCTCCTCCTGGCTTTCCTATGGGGTGAGTGGCGCTTCCAGGAGCATCCCGATGGGGAGGAGGAGGAAGGGGGGAGCAAGGGGGGGCCATGGGAAAGCCTTGGGAACATCGGGATCGGGAATGGCTTTGTTTGAGTTGGGGCAAAGTCCTCGGCTTCCCGGTGCGAACGGGAGCGCTCCATGGGTCGGGAATGGGAAGAGGGGGATGGAAACGGGAGCATTGCATGGATTGGGAATGGAAAGAGGGGGATGGAAATGGGAGTATTCCGTGGATTGGGAATGGGGAAATGGAAACGGGAGCATTGCATGGATCGGGAATGGGAAGAGGGGGATGGAAATGGGAGTATTCCATGGATTGGGAATAGGGAAATAGAAATGGGAGCATTCCATGGATTGGGAATGGGAATAGGGGGATGGAAATGGGAGTATTCCATGGATTGGGAATAGGGAAATAGAAATGGGAGCATTCCATGGATTGGGAATGGGAATAGGGGGATGGAAATGGGAGTATTCCGTGGATTGGGAATGGGGAAATGGAAACGGGAGCATTGCATGGATTGGGAATGGGAAGAGGGGGATGGAAATGGGAGTATTCCGTGGATTGGGAATGGGGAAATGGAAACGGGAGCATTGCATGGATTGGGAATGGGAAGAGGGGGATGGAAATGGGAGTATTCCATGGATTGGGAATAGGGAAATAGAAATGGGAGCATTCCATGGATTGGGAATGGGAATAGGGGGATGGAAATGGGAGTATTCCATGGATTGGGAATAGGGAAATAGAAATGGGAGCATTCCATGGATTGGGAATGGGAATAGGGGGATGGAAATGGGAGTATTCCGTGGATTGGGAATGGGGAAATGGAAACGGGAGCATTGCATGGATTGGGAATGGGAATAGGGGAATGGAAATGGGAGTATTCTGTGGATTGGGAATGGGGAAATGGAAACGGGAGCATTGCATGGATTGGGAATGGGAAGAGGGGGATGGAAATGGGAGTATTCCGTGGATTGGGAATAGGGAAATGGAAATGGGAGCATTCCATGGATTGGGAATGGGGAGGGAAATGGGAACAGGAGCATTCCAAAGATTGGGAATGGGAATAGGGGAATGGAAACAAGAGCATTCCATAGATTGGGAATGGGAATAGGGGAATGCAAATGGGAGCATTCCATGGATTGGAATGGGAAGGGAAATGCAAATAGGAGCATTCCACAGACTGGGAATGGGAAAATGCAAACAGGAGCATTGCATGGATTGGGAATGGGAAAATCCAATCATTGCTGCATAGATTGGGAATAGAGAAATGGAAACGGGAGCATTCCATGGATTGGGAATGGGAAAATGCCATCAGGATTGCATGCATTGGGAACAGGGAAATGTAAATGGGAACATTCCATAGATTGGGAATAAGGAAATGGAAACTGGAGCATGGCATGGATTGGGAATGGGAAAACGCAATCATCGTTGCATAGATTGGGAATAGAGAAATGGAAACGGGAGCATTCCATGGATTGGGAATGGGAAAATGCAATCAGGCTTGCATGGATAGGGAATAGGGAAATGTAAATGGGAACATTCCATAGATTGGGAACATTCCATAGATTGGGAACAGGAAAATGCCATCAGGAGCATTGCATGGATCGGGAATGGGAATAAGGAAATGGAAACTGGAGCATGGCATGGATTGGGAATGGGAAAATGCAATCATCGTTGCATAGATTGGGAATAGAGAAATGGAAACGGGAGCATTCCATAGATTGGGAATTAGGAAATGCCATCAGGCTTGCATGGATAGGGAATAGGGAAATGTAAATGGGAACATTCCATAGATTGGGAATAAGGAAATGGAACCTGAAGCATGGCATGGATTGGGAATGGGAAAACGCAATCATCGTTGCATAGATTGGGAATAGAGAAATGGAAATGGGAACATTCCATGGATTGGGAATAAGGAAATGCAAACAGGAACATTCCATGGATCAGGAATGGGAAAATGCAAACAGGCTTGCATGGATTGGGAGCAGGGAAATGTAAATGGGAACATTCCATAGATTGGGAATGGGAAAATGCCATCAGGAGCATTGCATAGATCGGGAATGGGAATAAGGAAATGGAAACTGGAGCATGGCATGGATTGGGAATGGGAAAACGCAATCATCGTTGCATAGATTGGGAATAGAGAAATGGAAACGGGAGCATTCCATAGATTGGGAATTAGGAAATGCCATCAGGCTTGCATGGATAGGGAATAGGGAAATGTAAATGGGAACATTCCATCGATTGGGAATGGGAAAATGCCATCAGGCTTGCATGGATTGGGAGCAGGGAAATGGAAACGGGAGCATTCCATGGATTGGGAACGGGAAAATGCCATCAGGAGCATTGCATAGATCGGGAATGGGAATAAGGAAATGGAAACTGGAGCATGGCATGGATTGGGAATGGGAAAATGCAATCATCGTTGCATAGATTGGGAATAGAGAAATGGAAACGGGAGCATTCCATAGATTGGGAATTAGGAAATGCCATCAGGCTTGCATGGATAGGGAATAGGGAAATGTAAATGGGAACATTCCATAGATTGGGAATGGGAAAATGCCATCAGGCTTGCATGGATTGGGAGCAGGGAAATGTAAATGGGAACATTCCATAGATTGGGAATAGGGAAATGGAAACTGGAGCATGGCATGGATTGGGAATGGGAAAATGCAATCATCGTTGCATAGATTGGGAATAGAGAAATGGAAATGGGAACATTCCATGGATTGGGAATCAGGAAATGCCACCAGGCTTGCATGGATTGGGAATAGGGAAAAGCAAGCAGGAGCATTGCACGGATCGGGAATGGGAAGGGACCGAGCACCCCGAGCCCCTTTCCCTTTGGGAGCGGGGATGCGCAGGGCATTCCCCTTCCCTTCGCCCCACACGGATCCCTTCCCGCTCCCTCTTCCAGCTCCGGCTGCTCCCCAACGGGCGCCCGTGCGCTTGGCTCAGGGTCCCCACGGCTGCGCCGGCCGGGTCGAGGTCTTCCACGAGGGCCAATGGGGGACGGTGTGCGGCGAGCGCTGGGATCTCCGGGCCGCGGCCGTGGTGTGCCGGGAGCTGGGATGCGGCCCCGCGAGCGCCGCCTCCGGAGCCGGCCGCTTCGGGATGCGATCGGGACCAGTGCGGTTGGAAGGGGTCAACTGCAGCGGGATGGAGGCGGCGCTGGCATCCTGCGGGAGCGAGGGCTGGGGGAAGAGCGGATGCGGCGAGGATGCCGCGGTGGTGTGCGCAGGTAACGGCATGGAAGGATGCGGCCGACCTCATCCGGGACCAGCGGCAGAGCAGGATGCTGGGGCATCATCGCATCCTGGTCCCCTGCATTGTTAATCCCCTGCATCATCATCGCATCCCGGTCCCCTGCATCATTGATCCCCTGCATCATCATCGCATCCTGGTCCCCTGCATTGTTAATCCCCTGCATCATCATCGCATCCCGGTCCCCTGCATCATCATCGCATCCTGGTCCCCTGCATCATCATTGCATCCCGGTCCCCTGCATCGTTAATCCCCTGCATCATCATCGCATCCCGGGCCCCAGCCCGGTCCCCTGCATCATTGATCCCCTGCATCATCATTGATCCCCTGCATCATCATCGCATCCCGGTCCCCTGCATCATCATCGCATCCCAGTCCCCAGCATCATCATTGCATCTGGTCCCCTGCATCGTTAATCCCCTGCATCATCATCACATCCTGGTCCCCTGCATCATCATTGCATCCCGGTCCCCTGCATCGTTAATCCCCTGCATCATCATCGCATCCCGGTCCCCAGCATCATCATTGCATCCCAGTCCCCTGCATCATTGATCCCCTGCATCATCACATCCCGGTCCCCTGCATCGTTAATCCCCTGCATCATCATTGCATCTGGTCCCCTGCATCGTTAATCCCCTGCATCATCATCGCATCCCGGTCCCCTGCATCATCATTGCATCCCAGTCCCCTGCATCATCATTGCATCCCAGTCCCCTGCATCATTGATCCCCTGCATCATGATCCCCTGCATCATCACATCCTGGTCCCCTGCATCATTGATCCCCTGCATCATCACATCCTGGTCCCCTGCATCATTGATCCCCTGCATCATCACATCCCGGTCCCCTGCATCATCATCGCATCCTGGTCCCCTGCATCGTTAATCCCCTGCATCATCATCATCACATCCCGGTCCCCTGCATCATCATTGCATCCCAGTTCCCTGCATCATTGATCCCCTGCATCATTACATCCCAGCCCCCTGCATCCCCGTCCCCATCATCACCACATCCTGGTCCCCTGCATCATTGATCCCCTCCATCACCCCATCCCGGTCCCCTCCATCACCCCATCCCAGTCCCATCCATCACCCCATCCCGGTCCCATCCGTCACCCCATCCCGGTCCCCTCCATCACCCCATCCCGCTCCCCTTCATCACCCCATCCCGGTCCCATCCATCACCCCATCCCGGTCCCATCCATCACCCCATCCCGGTCCCATCCCGGTCCCCTCCATCACCCCATCCCGGTCCCCTCCATCACCCCATCCCGCTCCCCTCCATCACCCCATCCCGGTCCCATCCATCACCCCATCCCGGTCCCATCCATCACCCCATCCCGCTCCCCTCCATCACCCCATCCCGGTCCCATCCATCGCCCCATCCATTCTCCTGTCTCCCCACATCCCATTCCCAACGTGTCTGCCCAAGGGTCAACAACAGCAGTGGTCCTGCAGAAGCGAGGGGCGCTCACGGTGCCCCTCTTGTGTCCTCCCCTATAGACACCTCCAACCACCCCATTCCCACCCGCACCAGCCCCATAGAGCTCCGCCTGGTCAACGGCTCCGACCGCTGCTCGGGGAGGCTGGAAGTGCGGCAGGATTCCCAATGGGAAACCGTTTGTGATGGAACCTGGAGCATCCCCGAGGCCACCGTGGTGTGCCGGGAGCTGGGCTGTGGGGCCGTGGCCTCAGCCTATGGGGGAGCTCACTTCGGCCAAGGCTCCGGTCCCATCTGGCTCCACCGCATCCAATGCAACGGGAGCGAAGCCGCCCTGGCCCAGTGCTTGGCCCAACCCTGGGGTACCAACGACTGCCACCACGGACGCGATGCTGGGGTCATCTGTGCAGGTAACACCTTCCTCATGGAGCAGGATTGGGCCATGGAGGGTGCTGTGCTCCGGGGTGGTCACCTCTGTGTGCGTCTCCAGCCTGCCCTTGGCTCTTGAGCTCATGGATCCAGGAAAAAGGGGGTTGGAACTGGATGGGCTTGAGGGCCCCGTCCAACCCAACCCATTCCATGGGTCTATGATCTTGAAGGCCCCTTCCAACCCAACCAATTCCATGGGTCTATGAGCTTGAAGGCCCCTTCCAACCCAACCCAACCCAGCCCAACCCAACCCATGAGTCTATGAGCTTGAAGACCCCTTCAACCCAACCCGTTCCTTCCAACCCAACCCATTCCATGAGTCTGTGATCGTGAAGGCCCCTTCCAACCCAACCCATCCCTTCCAACCCAACCCAACCCATGAGTCTATGAGCTTGAAGGCCCCTTCCAACCCAACCCAACCCAGCCCAACCCAACGCATGAGTCTATGAGCTTGAAGACCCCTTCCAACACAACCCATCTCTTCCAACCCAACCCAACCCCGTTGCAGACCCCTTCCAACCCAACCCATTCCAACCCAACCCATTCCATGAGTCTGTGATCATGAAGGCCCCTTCCAACCCAACCCATCCCATCCCTTCCAACCCAACCCATCCCTTCCAACCCAACCCAACCCATGAGTCTATGAGCTTGAAGGCTTGCAGACCCCTTCCAACCCAACCCATCCCTTTCAACCCAACCCAACCCATGAGTCTATGAGCTTGCAGACCCCTTCCAACCCAACCCATCTCTTCCAACCCAACCCAACCCAACCCATGAGTCTATGAGCTTGCAGACCCCTTCCAACCCAACCCATCCCTTCCAACCCAACCCAACCCATGAGTCTATGAGCTTGCAGACCCCTTCCAACCCAACCCATCTCTTCCAACCCAACCCAACCCACGAGTCTATGATCTTGCAGACCCCTTCCAACCCAAAGTATCCCATGCGGACCAGGATGATTCTCCCCTTGCTCCTTCCACAGACGCCGACTCTTCCAAGCAGCAACCTCTGCGTTTGGTGAACGGCTCCAACCCATGCGTGGGCCGAGTCGAGGTCTTCCACGACAAGAAGTGGGGCACGGTGTGCGACGACGCCTGGGACCTGCGCGACGCCGCCGTGGTCTGCCGGCAGCTGGGCTGCGGCGTGGCCGTGGCCGCCCCGGGCTCGGCTCACTTCGGCCCCGGCGCTGATCGCATCTGGCTCGACGACGTCCACTGCGCTGGCACCGAGGCCGCGCTGAGCCAATGCGAGCTCCACGCCTGGGGGGAGCACAACTGCAGGCACAGCGAGGACGCCGCCGTGGTCTGCTCAGGTAGCAGAGGGCTGGAGCTCTGCTGGGGGGCAGGCTCTGTCCTCTCTGCCCCGGCACCAAAGGCGCCTCCACCCAACCACTTGGCTATGGGGAGGAGCAGGCGTCACCCATCCCGTGGCTCGATGAGCTTGAAGGCCCCTTCCAACCCAACCCATCCCATGGCTCGATGAGCTTGAAGGCCCCTTCCAACCCAACCTATCGCATGGGTCTATGAGCTTGAAGACACCTTCCAACCCAACCTATCCCATGGGTCTATGAGCTTGAAGGCCCCTTCCAACCCAACCTATCGCATGAGTCTATGAGCTTGAAGGCCCCTTCCAACCCAACCTATCGCATGGGTCTATGAGCTTGAAGGCCCCTTCCAACCCAACCCATTCCATGAGTCTATGATCTTGAAGGCCCCTTCCAACCCAACCCATCCCATGGGTCTATGAGCTTGAAGGCCCTTTCCAACCCAACCCATTCCATGACTCTATGATCTGGAAGACCCCTTCCAACCCAACCTATTCCATGTGTCTACGGTTTTTAAAGTCCCTTCCAACCCAACCCATCCCTTCCAACCCAACCCATTCCATGAATGTATGATCCTCAAGACCCCTTCCAACCCAACCCAGCCCTTCCAACCCAACCCAACCCAACCCATCCCTTCCAACCCAACCCATTCCATGAATGTATGATCTTGAAGACCCCTTCCAACCCAACCCATCCCTTCCAACCCAACCCAACCCATCCCTTCCAACCCAACCCATTCCATGAATGTATGATCTTGAAGACCCCTTCCAACCCAACCCATCCCTTCCAACCCAACCCATTCCATGAATGTATGATCTTGAAGACCCCTTCCAACCCAACCCATCCCTTCCAACCCAACCCAACCCATCCCTTCCAACCCAACGCATCCCATGGGTCTCTGACAGCTCAGGATCTCCCACGGAGGCCCCATCTTCCCCCCTGTGCTCCTCTTGCAGGCCCCAACCCCTTGCAGCTGCGGGTGCAGGACGGCGCCGGGCCCTGCGCGGGGCGGCTGGAGGTGCTCTACAACGGGACCTGGCTCGGGGTGTGCGGCACCGGCTGGAGCCTGCTGGAGGCCGCCGTGGCCTGCAGGCAGCTGGGCTGCGGGGCGGCGCAGGCAGCACCCATGGGTGGCCCTCTGGACCGGGAACACCACCGGGTGCTGCTGGAGGGGCTGAGCTGCCGCGGCACCGAGATGCTGCTCCCCGAGTGCCTGCAGAGGCACGCGGGACCGGGCCCGTGCCCAATGGGCTCGGTGGCCTCCGTGGTGTGCGCCGAGCAGGAAGGTGAGAGCTGGGGTCCTCCGTTGTCCCCCTGTGTCTACATCAGAGCCAAGGCTTTGGGGAGGGGAAGGCTTGGAGGTGGGCAGCAAAGGCAGTGGGGTGGGAGCGTCAGGGTGAAGGCATCTCCATGGGCTTGGAGATCTGAGCATCCCACCTATGGGTGCGTGAACCCAATGCGGGGGGGGGGTGTCCATGCAGCATCAAGCCCAGCACCCAAGGGGGGATGATGCTGCACGAGCCCATGGGCAGGAGGAAGGGTTGGAGCATCCCTCTGAGCCCCACTTGTCCTGCAGGAGGGGTCGATCCCTGCCCGGTGCTGGCCGGACTCCTTGGCATGGGGATGCTGCTCTGCGGGACCCTCTTGATCCTCTACCTCTGGGCGAGGTGTGGGCGATGGGGTGGACGCTTCAGGGGTAAGAGCAGGACTGGGGCTCATAGGGGCACGGCTGCGTGGGCTTTGCACCCTCCGGGCATCATCCTGCTCCTTCCTGCTGCAGACAAACCCCTCCTAAAGAGGATGCAGGACACCGGGACGGCATCCGAGGCGTAGGAAGGCAAGGCTCCATCAAGACCCCCGGGGGACCCCATCCGGTGGAGCCAGCAGAGCAGGGGCTGCCACGCTCAGCAGAGGGGATGGATCCCTCTGCCCCATAGCCCCGTAGCCCCATAGCTCACTGCTTGGAGTCCCTGTGGGTCCCAGTTCCTCTGGGCAGCGCCAAGTCCCCCGGTCTCCAAAGTCTTCCCACGTTTACCCCCACCTGTCCTTTGGGAAGGCTCCAGAATCCTAATCCCATCTGCACAGCCTCCTCATTCCCATCCCTATAACCAATATAATCCCTATTTGCATCCCTATAACCACTATAATCCTTATTCCCATCCCTATAACCACTATAATCCCTATTTCCATCCCTATAACCGATATAATCCCTATTCCCATCCTTATAACATCTATAACCCTCCTTCCCATCCCTATAACCACTATAATCCTTATTCCCATCCCTATAACCACTATAATCCCTATTTCCATCCCTATAACCGATATAATCCCTATTCCCATCCTTATAACATCTATAACCCTCATTCCCATCCCTATAACCTCTATAATCCCTACTCCCATCCCTATAACCACTATAATCCTTATTCCTGGCTCGGGGGCTCCCATCCGGGATGTGGGGCTGGTGGAGCTGTTCTATCCTCAGAACAGGGAGGAATGGGATCTTGGATCCAATAGGATACGTGTAGTTTGGGGAGGGTGCCATGGGGTAGGGGTAGACCTGGCAGCCGTGGGGTCTTCCTGCTCTCCTGGAGCAGAGATGATGCTCTTGAGGGCTCCCCCATGCAGGACCAGCCCCTCTCGGGCTCATGGATTGCCCTAGGGATGCTCTGCACGATCCCAAGAGGCTCCCAGGCTTCCCCACAGCCCCATTGTAAGGGGGCAGAAGGGACGGGGGGACCACGGCTCGCTTCCCAAGCATCCGCCTATCCCCGGCATTCCCGGCATTCCTCTCTTTGCCACTGTTTGTTTGCCGGCAGGGATCAACGGCCTCGGGTCCATGCAACCCCAAGGTTGCCCCATCTCCCATGGGATGAGGTCGGATTCGTTCCCAGCTCAAGTTCTGCTTGGAAGAGCCCCCCCTTTCCTCTGGTCTCCAGCCCTCATTGACCTTCCTAAAGGCACCCATCCCTTCCAAGCCCCATCTTCAGCACCCAGCACCCATTTCCACCCCCCAACAGCACCCATCTCCACCGTTCAGAACAACGCCTGGTCCTTGACGGCCCCTTGGGGAAGCTCCTTGTCTCCAGGACATCCTCAAAGGGATGGGATGGCCGCAGCTCTTCCAGCTGCCCCAGTGCTGGTTGCAGAGGCCCCTTTCTCATGGGGGGTGGTGGCCCCCCACAATAAAGCCTTTTCCAGCCTTTCCTAAGCTGTTCCTTGGCAGTGGATGCCCCAAACCCCCACCAGATGGAGCCGGTGGCCTTCACCAGCGCCGGGGGTGGTGATGGTTTGGAGCCCAAACCAGGGCCACGTAGACGCCACGGTAGAGGATGAGACGCGGTGGGACATCGGCATGGGTTGGATGGAGAACGTTTGGATCCCCCCATCCCAAGGGCTTGAAGCAGCCTGGTTCCAGTCCCCCACGGCAGGGATGAGCTTGACGGCCCCTTCCAACACAACCCATTTCCATGAGCCTATGAGCTCCCGGTCTAACGGGGGTCCAAAGTCTTAGGGGCTGCCATGGGATCGGCGTGTCCGGAAGGCTTTGTTTGCTCCGTGCTTTCCTGGAACAGCTCTGCCCGTTGCGCAAGGCAGGGCTCCATGGGGCAGCAGGTCAACCCCCCGGCACCGCTCCATGGGGAAGTGAAACTCCCAGCTGGGACCAAGGCACAGGAACGGGAGGGATCCCGCTTTGCCCTCCCCATTGGCATCCATCCCAGGGGCCACCCCACTGCCGACCTCCAGCCCGCGGCCATGGCCACGCCGGCAGGGATCCATCCGTCATCCCGGAGCGGGATCCGATGCGGTCGCGGTGGGGCCAAGAGCGTCGGGACTCTGCTGCTGACGGCGTGGCTATGGGGTGAGTGCTGTTCCCCTTCGTTTCTGACCCCCCCAGTTGTGCTCCATGGGGAGCAGCAGAGGGGCCTGTGGGGCTGGGGCAGGGAGGGTGGCTTTGGAGGTGGTTCCCAAGGGGTTTAGGTGAGGGCAGGAGCTTTCCCTCTGCCCCATAGCCAAAGGCTTGTGAGCATTGCAAGAACTTGGTGGCGGGGGGAAGCGAATCTGAACCCCCCTGGACCTCCTCAATCCAAACCAATCCATGGATCGATGCTTCCATGATCCTCGTGTCCCATCCCCACAGCCGTGACCAGCTGAAGGATGGGGATCCATCCTGTGGGTGCTCCATCAACGCCGTCCCTTTGGAAGGGGTTAAGGGTGGGCTCCGGTGTTGGATGTGGGACAACCTTCTTGGGGCTGGTTCTCACTCCCAAAGGGCACAGGGAGGAGCCGTGCCCTTCGGATGGGGTTTGGAGGGAGCAGGATGGGATGGAGAGCACCTAAATTGGGTCTCGTTCACCAATGCTTGCCAGATACATGCCATGGAGTCCTTCAGCCCTGAAGGGTTGGGGTCCTGCTTGTGGGGGGCCTTGCAAGGCACTTCTAAGCTCTTCAGAAGCCTTTCCCCATGGAGAAGACCTTGGGGACATGGGGTCAATGGGACCCAATGGGATATGGAGAAGACCTTGGGGACATGGGGTCAATGGGACCCAATGGGATATGGAGAAGACCTTGGGGACATGGGGTCAATGGGACCCAATGGGATATGGAGAAGACCTTGGGGACAGGGGGTCAATGGGACCCAATGGCATATGGAGAAGACCTTGGGGACATGGGGTCAATGGGACCCAAAGGGATATGGAGAAGACCTTGGGGACATGGGGTCAATGGGACCCAATGGGATATGGAGAAGACCTTGGGGACATGGGGTCAATGGGACCCAATGGGATATGGAGAAGACCTTGGGGACAGGGGGTCAATGGGACCCAATGGGATATGGAGAAGACCTTGGGGACAGGGGGTCAATGGGACCCAATGGGATATGGAGAAAACCTTGGGGACAGGGGGTCAATGGGACCCAATGGGATATGGAGAAGACCTTGGGGACAGGGGGTCAATGGGACCCAATGGGATATGGAGAAGACCTTGGGGACAGGGGGTCAATGGGACCCAATGGGATATGGAGAAGACCTTGGGGACAGGGGGTCAATGGGACCCAATGGGATATGGAGAAGACCTTGGGGACATGGGGTCAATGGGGAAAATGGGGTCAATGGGACCCAACGGGACATGGGGTCAATGGCACCCAATGGGACATGAAGAAGACCTTGGGGACATGGGGTCAATGGGACCCCATGGGGCATGGAGAAGACCTTGGGGACAAGAGGGACATGGGGACTTCAGTTGACTTCAATTGACTTCAGTTGACTTCTGAGTTGACTTCAATTGACATCAATTGACTTCAACTGACTTCAATTGACTTCTGAGTTGATTTCAGTTGACTTCAATTGACTTCAGTTGACTTCTGAGATATCCAGGGCAGGGCTGGGCTGGCCAACGCCACCTCTCACATCCCTTTCGTGGGGCAGGAGCCACCCCAAAGCACCCCCATCCACCCCCTGTCTGTCACCTCCTGCTTCCTCCCCATCCCTCCTCTCCAGGCGCATCCAATGAGAGCCCGGCGGGGTCCCTTCGCTTGGAGGGAGGTCCCAGCCGCTGCGCTGGGCGCGTGGAGGTGCTGCACAACGGCACCTGGGGCACGGTGTGCGACGACGGATGGGGCTTCGGCGAGGGCCAGGTCGTGTGCCGGGAGCTGGGCTGCGGGATGGTGCTGTCGGTGGCGCCGGGGTCTCGCTATGGGGAAGGGAAGGGGCCGATCTGGTTGGATGAAGTCAACTGCACCGGGGAGGAAAAGGCGCTGAGGGAATGCCGAGCGAAGCCGTGGGGCGAACACAACTGCAACCACATTGAGGACGCCAGCGTTGAGTGCTCAGGTACCCATGGGATGCACCCCTGCATCCATCCCGTGGGGTGCGCATCCCTTCCCAACCTTCTCCCCCCACCCCCAGATTCCATCGTGGCCACCTTGGGCACCCTCCAGTTGGTCAACGGCCTCGACCGCTGCGCCGGGAGGGTGGAGGTGCTGCACGAGCACATGTGGGGCACGGTGTGCGACGACGGGTGGGATCTGCTGGATGCGGCCGTGGTGTGCCGGCAGCTCGGCTGCGGCACGGCGCTGGCGGCCACCCATGGGGCTCACTTTGGAAGGGGCCACGATCCCATCTGGTTGGATGAGGTCAACTGCACCGGTACCGAGGCCGCGCTCGTCGACTGCCAGGCCAGCATGTGGGGCAACAACAACTGCTTCCATGGGGAGGATGCTGGTGTGGTGTGTTCAGGTAACGCACCTCGAGGTGCAAGGGGGGCCATTGGCAACTTTGCAGTCATGGAATCCTGGAATGGGATGGGTTAGAAGAGCATGGATTCACTCTAGCTTCACAAAGTGCTCAGACAAATGGGGCTGCCCCATCCCTGGCACTGTTCAAGGCCCTTCCAACCCAGCCCATTCTATGGGTCTAGAGATGACCTCCAAAGGTCCCTTCCAACCCAACCCAACCCAACCCAACCCATTCTATGGTTCTAGAGATGACCACCAAAGGCCCCTTCCAACCCAACCGAACCCATTGGTTCTATAGATGACCACCAAAGGCCCCTTCCAACCCAACCCATTCTATGGTTCTATAGATGACCTCCAAAGGCCCCTTCCAACCCAACCCATTCTATGGTTCTAGATGACCTCCAAAGGCCCCTTCCAACCCAACCCATTCTATGGTTCTAGATGACCTCCAAAGGCCCCTTCCAACCCAACCCATTCTATGGTTCTAGATGACCTCCAAAGGTCCCTTCCAACCCAACCCAACCTAACCCAACCCATTCTATGGTTCTAGAGATGACTTACAAAGCCCCCTTCCAACTCAACACAACACAACCCAACCCAACCCATTCTATGGTTCTAGAGATGACTTACAAAGCCCCCTTCCAACTCAACCCAACCCAACCCAACCCAACCCAACCCAACCCATTTTATGGTTCTAGATGACCACCAAAGGCCCCTTCCAACCCAACCCATTCTACGGTTCTATAACGTGTCTTTGCCACACATTGTCTATGGCAATAAAGCCCCTTTACAAAGCCACCCCTCAAACCCCACTTTCAAGAGGACCCTGAGCGCTGCGGGCTCTTGGTCCCCATCCTGTGCTCCCCCACCCATGGATGATGCCCAGGCTGGAGCTGGGGCCCTCCTTTATGTCCCTTGCCAGATTCGGCGCTGTCAGCAGCCACGGCGCCGCGCTTGGCCGACGGCTTGACGCGGTGCGACGGCAGAGTGGAGGTGCCCCACCTCGGCTCCTGGGCCTCCCTGTGCGACCAAGACTGGGGGCTGGCGGAGGCCCGGGTGCTGTGCAGGCAGCTGGGCTGCGGGACGGCGCTGGTGGCCCCCGCCAGG